TGAAATATACGAGTTCCAATTAATCAAACAGATCAATTCCAACCGTTTTCCTTCAGTAACAGTAATTCTTCGAGGCGTCACAAATTAAATATTTTATGGTAAATTACTTGCAATTAATTTTGTAACTTTTCTATTAGTAATAATACAATGGATCGGTAATAGTTTATATCACATTTTAATATTTAATATATTGATATTTTATATACAATATTTTTTTATATTTTAAAGTTAATATTATTAAATTTTTATGATTATATATATATAATATATATATATATATATATTTATTATTGGTAATATTTAGTTAGCTACAAAATTCTATTTCCTTTTGTACTTTGCGTGTCTCTTCTTGTTACACACATTTTAAATGTATTATTACTCTACGGTTTTCTTCTCAATGACAAATAGATATTTCGGAAAAAAAACAAATTTTAAAAGTCTCAATGGAATACATTTTTAACGTTTTTATATTTTTAGGATTTTTACATATATATTAATAAATGTCAGAGGAAGAGTTTTAATTAAATAATTGAGACTTACAATTAGTCGAGAGGAATATTGTGGTTTTAAAATAATTGACATTTCAAAAGATAATCACTGCCAGTATCGAATTTCTTATTTGTCTTCAATATTAATGAAAAATGCAATTTCTGAAAAAAATTTTAGATTTGAATTTATATAAAATTAAATAAATAAAAATCTAGTTTTTATATAAATAATCGAAATAAATTTTATAAATACATAGGGATACATCTCTATATTTTGCTGTTGGTTGTTATATATTTATATCTTTTTATAGCATTCACTTTATATAAATAATTTATTTACGTTTGTTTTATAAGTTGCGATTTATGCTGTGACTTTATTACAGGATGAAAAGAACCAGATACTCACAACCAATGTTGGTTACACAAGTTTGGACGCGACCATCATTTGAATGGAATGCCTCGGAATTTGCTGGAATTCAAGTAATCCGTGTTCCTTATAATCGTGTTTGGCGACCTGACACAATTTTATACAACAAGTGAGCATTATTTCGCATAAATAAGAGTGAACTTAAAAAACTGATATTCAAAAATATATTTTAACAAGAGTAAGTTTAGACATGTGTTACATATATTTTATATATAAATTTTATAAATACATAGGGGTACACCCCTATATTTTGCTGTTGTTGTTATATATTCTATATCTTATAGCATTCACTAAGTTTATATATGTATTCATAATATATTGTGGCTCTAAAAGATTTAAAAAAATATATTCAAACTGGAGCCAATGATTTGTGTTCTCTTGAGATCTCTATGTAATTCTGCTATCCTTTTCAAACTTTTCTCGATTCCTTATGGAATACTTTGCATAGCATACTTTACATGACAGAAAAAATAAGGTTAAAGCTGATTTCCAATTGAAAAGATAATTCAAAGTTTCAGTAATTTTAAAAAGATATATTTTCTACAGTTGATTAAATATAAAAATCAAGAAAAAAGAGTAAGAAATAAAACAAAGTAATTTATATTTCGTTGCTTTTAATGTACAGTGCTGATCCACAATATAGTTCAGCGGTCATCAATACAAACGTGATCGTTAGTCATACAGGCGAAGTTGTCTGGTTAAGCCACGGTATTTTCCGCAGCAGTTGCGACATAAACGTGGAATTCTTTCCCTTTGATGAACAACGATGCGCTCTGAAATGGGCCTCTTGGACCTACGACGGATATCAAGTAAGTTTTCATACATCACATTCATATTCCACATTCTATACTTTTCACTTGCACATCTGGATTTTCATCCGCGCGAATGCAAATTGTTAAAGTTTCACATTTACATAATTGAATATCTGCTTTTAGTCACTGCGCTCCTAACGAATTTCTTTTTTAAAAAATCCGGAGTTTCTAATATTCCGTTGAGACAAATATTCAATGATGTAAATGAAAAATTTGCATCGGTGCATAAATGCGTCTTCATTCATCATTATTAAATTTAGAGAGATATCGTTTTCGGATACATCTTAAATAAAAGTATTTTTCTTGAATTATAGATGACAATCTTAATTAATTTTTTATTTAGTCACATTTTTCATCGATTTTTATAATTATAGAACTTTGAAAGTATTTAAAAAACTGCGACGTAAAATTTTTCTTGCCAGTAATTATCGACTATGCAACTGTTCATCTTGTAGATTTTTTTAAATCAAATTAAATTCACCGTTTAGTCAGCCATAATTCTTCGTGATATTACATTCACTTTTTTTAAAAAATCACGGTATATTCTGTGATAAAAATCAAAGATCGTATTGGTTATTCAAAGATTGAAGTACGAAAATATAATTTATGTAAAATAGGAAAAATCGAGCATTTAAAATAAAGAAATTAGAGATATAAATATTTAAATATTATATTTGAAATTTAAAACTTTCCTAAATATATTGTTGAAAATATATATCGTGGACAATTCTATATGTCTCTATGTTTTAAAATAGCAAGTAATTTTTTTGGTATTACAAAGATATACAGATAAAAGAACTATAATGCAGGTGTAACAGCAATATGTACGATGCGTAAATAAAGAAAAAGAAATTATTGTTCGTGAAGCGAAGAGCTTCGGCTTTGAAAGTTCGGGGACGCTTAACACAGCTGTGGAATCGCAACGCGGGCCCGCCAAGTCGTGAAAATGGTTCGGGGCAGATCGAAGAGCTTATCCCAGCATCGCGAGAAGAATTCAATACGAGAGCCGTTCCGTTCACTTCCGCGCCGAACTCTCTGCTATCTTTCACAGAGTTTTCCCATTTTCTATCTCTCCGCATTGAATACACTTTGCGTAACGTCGGTACGTTTTTCTTCGTCGCATAAGGTCGAGAACGTTATCGCGATTTAAAATACTTAAATTGTTCTAGAGAATCCTTTTTGCGCATTAATCATTTCTTGCAATACAATGTTTCTAATATCAATTATTTATTTTTGAAATAAATTAGTACGAGTATTTTTTTCAAATCATAATTTTCGCTACGAAAACATTAAAAAGGAAATTATAAACTTAAAGAAAAAATAAACAAAGGTAATTGCATTAAATCTAAATCAAAGAGAAAGGTAATGTTCCATTTAATTTAAAATTCGATTTATCCTTCAGTCTCTTTCATATATTGATATAGAAATGTTACCGCAAAATAAATAATATAGATCTGGATTTATATCAATATTAATAAATGTATTGTATAAACAGTTCTCGATAATGGAGCTGTTACACAAAAAGATCTCGATTGTAGTAGAAAGATATTCGGCTTGTCAATTGCCAATTTAACTTTTAATCGATAAACTAGCCTTCGTGTTTTAACGAACGGCGCGACGTTGACTTTTTATTATTCGAAAATTCGCGGAGCTTTTACGGAGAACGACGGCGGATCTGCGCGATCAAGCATAATTAATATCGTGAAAATTTCGCGGACATCAGCTCGAGCTGGAGAGGCAGAGTGAGAAGGGGGACGTGAGTAATTATCAAGCAAACGGCGAGTTCCATCTTCTGGATTTCACACGCCCGTAAAAACGTCGAGTACTACTCCTGCTGTCAAGAACCGTATCCCGACATCACTTACGAGATTCGCTTACGACGACGTCCGATGTTCTATGTCTTCAACCTGATTCTGCCCTGCATACTAATCAACGGCGTCGGTAAGTGGACTACATAAATGTGCATACACGACTAAAACGTTGAGGAACGTCTTCAGCGAAATCAAGTATTAAGATCATTTGTCGCTCGTATATTAAAATAATAATCATCATTTCAATGTCTGTTCGCATTACAATTTTTTTTCGCTGCGATTTTATTTTAAAAAGCGTATTCCTTGATTATAAAATAGAACACGAATACGCTGTTTTTAAATATTTTTTGAAAAGAAGATATATGAAAAAATTCTAATTTAATTTTTTAAATAAATTTTCACGAATGCGAATTAACGATGACCCGGTAACGCAAATCTGTAACATCGCTCGGGTCGTTTATTAAAAAGAGAATAACAGTTCTTATCGTTAGCTTATTATGAAGTTTTCATAAATAAGCCTCAAGACTACGAAGAAGCCCGCGCATGAGAAGTCATATACAAGATTAGATAAAGATTTTCCCTTGCGATCTTTCCGCACTCTACGACTTGCTTGCATAAGAAAATTAAGATTGCCTCTACGAGAACGCGTAAGACGCGGATCCAATAAATTTGCATAATAGTTTTCGTAATCTTAGGAAAAACGGGCGTTTTATTAATAACTATGCGAGCGATCAAATTATGTGTTAAGATTTATGGGATGATAAGAAAGCAAAGTGTGCACGATCGATGTTTTTATATGGATATTTGAAAACTTCGAAATTTTGATAAAATTACATTATTATATATAAGAGTATTGAGAATAATATTATGGAAAAAAATTTCTTGACAAAGAAGAAATTTTACTTTTTGTGTGATATCGAGAGAGCTATAATTGCTCGTCATAAATGTTAATATTAAATATTTTTGAAAACAAGAGAAAAAAGTGTATATATTTTATATATTTTTTTATATATATATTTTTTTCTCTGTTTCTTGAAAAAATAAGAATGGCCAGTTAAGCCGTTAAAATATTTGTGCTATGCAGTTTTTATTATACATCTTTTGTAGTATTATTTCAATTTTCTAATTAATATAGTTAGAAATTAATTTTGTATCTCTTTATTCGGCTCCTCTTCAATCAATCAAATTTGATAATTGACGGAGTGAAAATCCAAGTCTATTATGTAAATGTTATATTAATGTAACTAAACTAGTATTTAATTCTCTTTTTAGAGATCAGTGATCTTGAACAAATTCGTCGTTATAAACAATTTTTGAAATTTTTATAAAATTAATATTCGCTGCGAAGAGCAATCAAATAATTTACGAGAGAGATGTATTTTTTTATGTAGCAAATATTTATGCTTAATCTCATATTAATCTTGATATTTTAGATTAATTATTTTGTCATTATTACATATATGATTTACAAATATTTTAATAAAAGATAGATTTAAAATTTATAAAAGCAACAAGTTGAATGTAATAATTTTGTATGGTATTAATAAAATATTATTTAATGTAGTATTTTTCGTAGAAACAAAAGGCGTGAAAGTAATGATCAACGCAAAAAAGCATTAGTTCTGTCCGCCAATGATAGCTCGAAAAATAATATCGCCACTGGATTTAATCGCATTAAGATTTGTACGAAGGAAAACGAATTAAGTCACCTTTTAAGGAAACGATGGTATGACCGAAGCATTTCATTGCATGCTGCTGCCGTTTATCGATAATGAAAGAAATTTGCCAAGGATTCGTTCGATATCCGAATCAAGTTTGTAGATTTAGTAATTACTGATCAAAATCTGAAGAACCTGTTCTTTATAAAAAATAAAAAAAAAATATATATATATTAGGAAAATTAAAAATACATAAATAAAAGACATAAAGGATATAAAAGATAAAAAATGTAAATATTAAACTAACGGAATATAAGACCGAGTGGAGCAATCGAGACTGTCGGGTAAATGGGACAACAATAGTTTTCCGATGACAAAATGGATAGTTATTGTCCAGAATTTTAAAATGACAATTGTGAATTTCATTATCGGAAAAATCACTGCGTTATTTCCCTGGTTTTGTGTATAAATTTCTCTACATGACAATAATAATAAGTAAACAATATCATTTATTTTCTTTGCATGAATATTTCCTGCAAGATTAAAATTTAAATGGAAATTGCGGAAAATTTTTAATCGAAAAAAGCACATAAAATCAATAATATAAATTAATAAAGAATTTAAGCATAATAGATGTACGTGCACAATAAAGGCATAGAAAACTGAAAAAATTTAAATTCACCGAAGTCTCGAAAGAAAGGCGATTCCGAGATTGTCTTCGTTCTCGTCTTTTCTCGCCTTTTTTTGCCGTTCTAATGTCATTTCACTGTTGATTACTACTACACTCAAGTTTGTCACGAGACTTCGGCTCGAATTTTCGCGGAATATCTCGGATTCAATATTCCGCGACAAGAGGAAAACTTTTGCGAACGTCTCCTTTGTTTGCTTTTCAGCCCTGTTGGTGTTCTACGTGCCCTCCGAGTCAGGAGAGAAAGTCACCCTCGGTATCTCGGCCCTTCTCTCCATGACGGTTTTCTTGATGACCATTCGCGAAACTTTGCCGCCTACGGAGAAGACGCCGTTAATAAGTGAGTATTGAGTCAAAAACCTGTTTTCCACCGTAATCTTTTCATTCGAATATTAAGCCGAGATACACATTTTCATACTTTAAAGATATTTTTAGAATATTTTCTCTCTCTTTTTCTTTTTCCCCTATCTCTTTTACGAGAGATTTATTATACAATCTTATTTACAAGCAAATATCATTCTGTTTAGTGACACTATTTTAAATTTATATCGCTAGTGAGAAACATGTATATATTTTTTCAAACTTTAAGATATAAAAGTGTCACCCAATTTTTTTCGGAAATTTTATATAACGCAGGATATGATTGCAATTTCCGTTCGAGCGTCATAGCTGCTCGTTACCCGTTTCTCATTAAAAAACTCGCGGGAAATGCACCTGGGATTTTCTTGAGACGCGGTTAACCGTGTACAAGAACGAGCACCGTCTTATTTCTGCTAATGTTACCTTCAAAGGTAAAAGAAATGTCTTCAAAACATAACGAGAAAATCAAATAAAAGCAGTTCAATATTTCATTAATTAAACGGAGAAAAGATTTTTGTTTAATGCTTACAGGTACCATGATTTGCATTCAGAGAGACCATAATAGATAAAATCTTTGGGGAATTATAAAAAAAATGATATTCAAATTTCAGAGAATATTTTTATATCTAAAAGATAAAAACATTATCATATCGTTCTCATTTCGTTCGATATATCTTTATCGTATACATCTGCATTCTTGTCATATTATTATATTTTTATATAAAGATCATCTTTACGTATATACCATACTTTGAATAATATATGTACAATAGTATTTTAATATATATATAAATACACTATTTTATATTCTTAAAAAGTGAAAATATTTTATTTAAAAAATATTTGCATATTTTTAAATTTACTTAAAAAATAAATTAATATTTATTTGATTGATATACATATTTTTAGCTTCCTCCATATGGTTTCAGGTCTTTATTACGGTGTCAGCATTTGTCTGGTGTCGTTTGCATCCGGTCTGGCGGTCGTGACATTGAATTTGCATCACGTGGTGTACGGGGTATACGAGTGCCGAGTATCGTGAGATCGTTGGTCTTAGACAATTAGCCAGGATAGTATTTCTGAATTTCCAAGAGGAGAATAGATCGGTAAAACGGATAACGTAATGCACATGGATATTGTTCTTTGTAACACGCGGGGCATTTTTTCAATTGCAGTCTGTTTCTCAATCATTTGGAATATAATAAATTGAGTCAATATTTCCGCTGCGCGTTTCTCAGCGATCGATTAAATGATAATTCTGAGAGTCGCGCAGCTTCCGGCCAATTAATGGCCTAAGTAGAATTTCAGAATTAAAGAAAAAGCAGATATTGTTTGAAGATACATAAATTACAAAAAAAGTAAAGAAGATATCTTTAATGTTACGTAAAGAAAATAGAAGGATAAAGTAAAGAAAAAAATTATAACTATCTCTATATAGAAAATATAAAAAAAATTTATAAAAAGATGAAGAGAATATGTGAAAAAAACATGTTATACTTCGCAGAGAGAAAGTTTCATGTTGATATAGGTTCTATAAACGCGTCCCCGCTATTGCTAGATTCTATAGAAAAGTTACGACGGCGCGATCATCAATCTGAAATCACAGAGATTTTTTATATCAGCAGGAACCGGCGGAAAATTCTCGAGAAGAAAGAACAATTGTCACTGCACTGCAAATCGGAACTGCCAGAGCAGCACATATCTCCTAAATATGTATCGAGAAGGGATGATCGTAATAGCAGCAGTCCTAGTCTAGGTGAGTCTATTTTATGTAATAAATAATTGATTACAGTTGCGGAATATTTCTATCTTCTTGTCATCATGGTTTAACGACAAGAACACGCTATTTGATTTAACCCTCCATATAATAAATTTATTTGATATTATACGTATTATTATTATCAGCATAATTTAATTAATTTAGTTTTAATTTATTCTTATTTGTATTTTTATATTATAAATTTTTCTGCCATTCTTTTAAAAAAGCTACATTCTACTTTCAAATCGTAATGTTATACGAATTTTTCGATTTTTTTTCAAATAATTTGTAATATAAAAAATTACAATTTTACACAAGATTAGATATTTTTCTAAAATATTTTATTTTTGCGTGATTACAAAAAGATTACATATGTATTTTCATGCACTCAAAATCTTATCTATTTTTGTTGTATTATTGGCTGAAAACATATTCTTTTTATGAGATATTACACATGAGACATTATAGATTGATCAATTATCGTCTAGTCTTCGATTTAGTCTAACTTATATTCATTAATCAGCTGATTCGTGTCGCGCGATCAATGCTTTACATTTTACATTTTGCTAATTGGTTTCTTTAACTCTCGTATATAATTAAATTTCAAATTTGTTGTAATATGAGAAATGACAAATATTTTGCACAAGATGATACATATTTTATAAAAATATTTAATTTTCGCGTGATTAGAAAAAGATGTTTATTCTAATATGTATTCAATATGAATATGTATCTATATGTATTCTCAATCAAACTCTAATCTATTTTTGTTGCATTGTTGGCTGAGAACATATTTCTTTCATGAATATTGTATAGTCTGATTAATTATCGTCTAGCCTTTGATTAATTTCATTAATCAGCTGATTCGCATCGCGCGATCAATGCTTTACAAATTATATATCGAAATGATCGCGCAGATCTCGGAAAGGAGGGCGGCCTTGAGGCACAATGGTCCCGGGTCCTGGGAAGAGTGCACGCGACCATTGAAAGGAACGAGCGGCGCCTAGTAGAGCAAGATCGTCGAGAAAGGACAGAATTAGATTGGAAACAAGTCGCTCTGGTCAGTGATCGTGCGCTATTGTGCGTTTTCTTTCTAACGACAATCGTTAGCACGGCGGTGATTTTATGCGGCTCGCCTCCGACTCAGGATGTATCAAAAGACGGGTAATCGTTGAATTATCGATTTGATTATATCAATTGACTAAATGATGCCAAAATGTCTTCTTCATCATTGGACTCAAAGAATAATTTTATTTTATTTTTTTTATAAAAAGATTAATAATTTGCAGTAGATCTATTCGTGTTGATACATAAGGAATAAATGGATGTTTTTCTCTCGTTTTATGATGAGATACATATATATATTGTGGTGTGTCTACGAATGAGTGATTTTGAAAATTTGATAGAAACTTTAATGTTCATTATACTCTCAAGTTGATGGAAAATTACTCTGTGGTATAAAAATCAATTCAGTTGTTTAATTTCTTATTATTTCGTTAGAATTTTTAGATGAAAGATTATTTCGAGTCAAACTTTATTTCAATTTTTATCGGTTTCTTTTAATTCATAAATTTTGTACAATTATATATACGTTTAAAAATGAAATATTTATCTCTTAACCGGGAATGAATTTAAAGAATAAAATAAAGCATTATTGCTATGGCATTAAAATTTACTTATCTCTTTTTTTCGGAAAAAATGCTTGCTTTCTAATTTATTTGTCAAAAATGTAATTAATTTTCTTGTTTTTTCTTTGATTTGAACAAATAATTTCAAAGTAGCTGAAGAGAGCTATAAATATATGCATCGAATTTGTCACAGAATACATGAATTTGTCGATGTCATAAGTTCATAAAAATACGTTATATTAAAAATATATGTTAATATTTAGATCTAGAATAAATGTTCCTTATAGATAAAAAACTCGGTATCTAAATGTACGATAAATGTTAAATCGTTAAAAATTATAAATACTTGAACAGGGTTGAAAGTATAATTAAAACATGAAAAGACCAAATAATGAAATAAGCTTTTATTCATTATATCCAATAACTATGGAAGTCCCACAACCACATTTTTAAGTTATACAATTTTTCACAAAAGTATGAAAAAATTAATTTTATTAAGTATAAGATATTTTTCTCCTTTTTTTTATGCATTGTCATCTTTCATCATAGCAAAATATAAAATGTATAATAGAATATATGTATATATATGTAAAATATGAGTCTTTTAACAATTCAATAATAATCAGGTACAGGTGCACAAGCTATTTTCACAAAGTCTTCATATTTAACATAACCATTTAGAGATACATTGGCCTCGCGGAAGATTTGCTCCACTGTAACAGAAATGGTATGAAGCAATAACAGTATTAGTAATAATAGTAAAAACAAAATTGAATCATTATTTATGTACCTTCTTTGCTACTCAATTGTTCTCCCCAGTGAACCAGCATGTGTGCCAATTGCCTTGCCGGAATGGTGCCATTATGAGAGATATCCGCAGCTTGAAAAGCTTTAATCACTTCTGTCGGTAGATCCTCTGCACGAGTCTGAAGATGCATGACTTCCAAGAAATCAGCAAAAGACATTTTTCCCACCTGGATTGAGGTAGATTTTATTTTATTTGCAAAGAAAGATAATTAGTACAAAAACACTTACCTTTATCCTTCATATATTTGTTAACTCTGCAATAGTTGGCTTAGCCCTAAAGATCTCATGATTATAGTGAGCTCATCAGTGTACGAATCTGGCCATTTCGAGCAAACAAGTAGAAACATTCCCGAAACTCTATAAAAAAAATTAATATTAATATTCAATTTATGCAAGGTGTACAAAAATATGCAATATAACATTCTTCTCAACATACCATCTATATCTTCTTCTCTAAAGTAACGTGCCTGTAATATAATAATTATTAATATTGAGTGAATATATGAAAAGTAAATAATTAAATATATTCAAAACTAAAAGCAACTCTATATATTATATCAAAGACAATTATATATGTAAAAATATGAAAGTAGATCAAGTAGTTTCAAATTATAGTATTTTATAATAGATTTATTAATTAAATTATTTATTGATGAAAATTTATATTAAAATTACCATGATTGATTATAAGAAGATCGCGTTCTTTTTCGAATATCGGAATGTTTCTTCACAATTTTGACACACACAGGTGTTTGACAGAGCGAGACATAACCCAACCCCCGCTTGTTCTATTTTCGCTGGTAAAGAGCGACATCATCTGCCGCGATTGTGTACTAAAAATCAATCGTGCCAATCCACTAACTTAAAATGCATCATTTTTTCTCTGTTGGCAAAACACTCAAATATCAGAGCGAAATATCTCACAATCGAATACAGTTGAAAGAGAACAATTTCAAGGTTTTTCAAGAATTGTTGCGAAAAAGAGAAATATTTTCGACCCAAGACGACATCAAAGGTATCAGAAAAGTAAGTGGAATGTAGTATCTCCCTCAAAGGCTCTCTTATATACATATTCTAGAATTAAATGTTATACAATGTCGTTTAACCGCACATACACGATTATCTTGTTCGATGTATGCACATCTATTTTGGCATCGTAACTCAATGAAATTTTCGGAAAACTGTTGATCCAATCACACACGAAATATTTCAAACGATAAATCACAATTGTCGAAGAATTTTATTTTTATTAATTCAACAATAAAATATATTGAGGATTAAAAATAATTGCAATTATCTATTATAAATAAATATAACTTTTTTTAATATATGTAATTACATTGATGAAAATAATTGCAGAAATGATATTATTATTTTTCCAATAATTGGATTTTGAGGAACGAATAAAATTTTCATTTTATTCCTCAATATAAGATCACAGATAATAGCACATATAATAGTTAATCGTTTCTTCATTTGGTAGCGAATATTTTCCGTAACGATTCGCTGAGAAAGTTCTGTAGAAAAAGAGCGATTAATCAAGCGGCATTAGCCGTTCGGCAACTTTTCGAGGAATAAATTCCGCGCTAATTGCGACTAATGCGATCGGACGGCGCTATCGGGCGGCGAAAAAAGCCGCCCGCAGCATCCCGAAAAGAATGGCCGAACGGAACAATGATCCGGTAATCGTCCCTTCCGGACGACGCGGTAGAGGATTAGAATTTATTTTGAATGTGCGCGTATACGTACACTATTGATTAATGTTCGTCTCCTCACTTTTCTCGTTAAAAAGACCTCGCCATCAATCTCGCTCTCTTTCTTTCTCTCTCTCTCTCTCTCTCTCTCTCTTCGATCCGAGGATTCACCCCAGAGACGAATCAATTTTTTTCGCATCTCCGGGAATGACTCGACTGATTCTCGTTTAGCCTTTTACTTCGTGACGTCAAGAGGAAACCGAGAACCGGGAAATATCGACTTTGCTCGCACGATTGCGAATTAATGGTGCAATTTGATTCCGGCCGTGCAAAAATATATCGAAAGATTATTATTATACTTAAGATTCTGCAAATCAGAATGACGTTTAAACTTGATGATCTATCAGGATTTAATACCGATGTATATTATCTCGCTAATTCTCAATAATATCTCAAATATTCGTGAATATGAAGTTTGCGAGTTGTCTTTTTCGTTTTTATTATGTTGCTTTGATTTTTTATTCGAACTCTATATTTACATTATTATGTTGTTAACATTGACAAAAATAGCCCAATATTTATGCATTTTTTTCAGAAAGTATATTATGATTGTCAAAATGAGTTTTTAACACCAATCTATTATATGTATATTAATAATCGAAGGTAAAATTTTTATTGAAAAATAGGAATATGTATATATTGCGAATTTTTAAAATTTTCGCAAATTTTGTAAAATGACACGTATATTATGAATATAAGAACGAATTATTTTCATTTATCGTTTTTGATTGTAAAAAACTAAGGCGTTTAAAAAATCCTACGACAAAGACTAGATTTATTAGTATATTTTAAGAATCAATTGAGTTATTGTTTCAAATAAATTAAATAAATTACATAACAGCACCTGTCTCCCATCAGCAGCAATATCTGCCACATTTTTCAATAAAAATTTTATCTTAAATATCACTAAATATACATATAAATAGACTGATAAAACCCCATTTTAATAATCCTATACTTTCTAGACAAAATTTACGAATATATGTATTAGCTATTTTTTAATGCTTCTGGGTGTCCTCCCTTAATTGTATCCCTCCCTCTTCATTCAAAATGATGAAATACGTCTGCAAATTGAATCTCTTATCTCACACGACCAATACGATGGAATATGTCGGTCTGGAGACAAAAAAACGTAATTGCAAATCGCCCTGTAAACAAACGGGGTGAACGCGATTATCGCGGCAGTTAATGTGAACGCTTCTCGTTCGATAGTTACGAACAGTTAGCGTTCCTGCCGGTGTTAGCAGTCGTTAGAACGAATACGAACTCGCAGCAGCCCGTGGAAACTAATTGGATATCGCGGGCTCGTCCTTTGCAGCATACCGTTTCCATAATTAAATTGCTCGCGGCTTCGGCGCCGCCGCATGTCGATAATCAAACTAATCCAGAGCGCAACATTCCGGGGTAATGGTTTCCCGTCGAGGACGAGAGGGTGGGATTCCAGGCCGCCACCCTTCTGGTTTCTCTGTCACCTTTCGTCGCCTTTTGCGCGTTTCTTTTGTTTCATTGATAGCCCTTCGCAATATAGGATACAGGGAAAGCTCGTTTACCTCGAATATATAATATATATATACACGAGCATGGGGTGCGCAGGAATTATATTTTTGTTTCCTATTATTATGATTCTTCCTTAATTGTTTAAATTCAATTTTTTAATTATTTTTTCTTGTAATATTTTATTATTTTATTTTAATACTTTTATATTAAATAAAATTGCAGATAAATTCCAATGTTTATTCACGAAGAGAGTAAATGCTTAATTTTTTTACTGATTCCTAATGGGGAAGGAAAGGGCAAATGCCCTTCTCTGCGGACGCCCATGTGTACGAGGGTAAAAGCAATATACCGAACGACAGATACGAAAATATATAGCGCGACAGACGCGGGAACTGCACGAAATAGATGTAGATCTATGAGGGTAGACGTAGGAGAGGGAGAGAGAGAAATCGAAGGAGGAAGCAAAGCGAAGCGGAATATCAGCGTTAAAGGACGCGAGCGAGATGGAGAAAGTTCGAAAGGACGACGACGCGCTCGCGCATCTCGTCCTCTCCTGTCTGTGCCGGCTGCTCCAATCTTCCTTCTCTCGCACAGAGGAGGCTGAACAGGAGACAGGATAAACGCGCGCGCGGGCGACGTGTTCGGCCGCGAGATGGAATGGATGGAAGGGGTGCGAGGGGTTGAATAAGCCCGCTCCGTTTCTGGAGGAGGATCAGCGATTCGGCGCGAGAAGGAGAAAGGAACATTTATTCCCTCTCTTTTTCTCTCTTCACTAATATATCAAATAAATATACCAGCACGTAAGGACGTTTACAGGTTTTTTTCCAGGGAAAGGAGCGTCGTTGAAATTTTATTTGTTTCTTCTTTTTCAACTTTTTTTAAATTAAATTTTTATTTTTTATATTAATTATATACGCAAATCAATTCCAGCGCGTAATTGTATAGTATACGTGATAAAATTGTAATCAAAATCTTTACTCACTGATATTTACAATAATAATATGTTAACATATGTAATAATTAATAAGAGAGAGAGAGGGACGCGAGCGCAGAATAGCAGACGGCGAGATAGATCTCGCGGCGTTACGTATATCGGAGAGAAAGAGAGAGAGAGAGAGAGAGAGTGACAGCTCAAAAGAGGGGGGAGGGAGTGCACAGCTGGGTCGAACGCGCGCGAGTGGTGGGGGAAGTCGTTGTCCTCGGGAGTCTTCGTACGCGCGCGACTCGCGCTCGTCAGTCCGATGCGGACCGCGCTGACGTCGATATTGGTACCCGGGTACTACACGTTCGTACGTGCGCGGCGTGATATTTCTCGTTTCGCGTAACGCGCTGCACGTCAACGTAGCAGCGAGACGCGCTCAGAGGACGACGACCGTCTCTCATCCCGCGTGTGTAAATATATGTATATATATATATAAATATATATATATTATATTATATTTGTATGTGTACATTTGTGTAGCTGTGTGTGCGCGCACGTATCCCGGATGTGTCCCGCACGGCGGAGTAGTACGCGGGCGGCGTCGCTATGCGACGGTGAACGCCGATGACACACGGAGAGCCTTCGTCCTCGCGTGACGCGCGTCAGCAGGATCCCGGTAGAGAGAATGCCCGTGCTGTAACAGCCGGAGGAGATTCTCGGAGCTACGAGAGGAGCTGCGCCTCGGTAAGTCTTAGACGTATATATGTGTATGTATACACATGGAGTAGGCGCGACTGTGTGTGTTTGTATGTGTGTATATATATTATATATACGTGCGTACTACAAGTGTGCGTATATACAGGTTGTCCTTCCAAACGCGGCGTCTTTGACAATTCTATATCGGATAAAATTCTAAACAGATAACGCAATTTCCTGCAATTTATATATACGCGTTGAATATTTCGATACGAGCAAATCGGATTTCATCGAAGTCAGTAAGAATAAATATGATGAAATTAATTAATAAAAAAAAATGATGAATTATTATCGATGCTTGATATCAGAATATTGTTATTTTCATTGTGTTGCGAGTTCCGTTGCATATCCGCTCTGAGAGGATGAGGGGATAATGAGGGGAAACCCGTTGCATGTACGCATCTTGCGCGCGAGTTCCCTGTGTTTCGTCACATTTGAATACCCTTACATTTCTCTACGATATGTTTCGAGATCGGGATGATAGGAACACAATTTATCTTGCGAGATAAATTTCTCGCGGATCCGTGATACGTGAAGCTTGTCGCATATTCATGCGAGATAAATTTTGATATACCTGACATATGACATATAATATGCCAAAATAAAAAATCTTTTGTTTCTACTGCTACATTTGACGCTCGTTTATAATTGTGAACGATAATAATAAAAATATAAATTTAACATATATAAGATAGGCAATAAGAGCCAAATCGCGGATGACAGTGCGTTATTCTAAACGAAACTAAATTTTTTCGTTAGAATTAAATACCTGTGCACAAGGCACCAAATTTTTACTTGGACACGGCCAAGATATAAAATTGGAATAATCTCTACAAGAGATTTTTAATTCCATGTATCCCCTATTCCCCCTAAAGAAATAAAGTGCGAGAGAAAAATATAGATCCGAAAGTCGCAGAATCGGGAATCGAACCCGAGACCTTTCGCTTGCCGGGCGACTGCTCTTCCAACTGAGCTATTCAGATCCTTTCGATTCTATACTTTTCTCTGTTATATATATTAATGTTGGTAAATAAACGCCTTTAAGCCAGCGTGTATAAATTAAGAGTTTAACTAGGCTCTGTAATATATAAATATAAATTTAACATATATAAGATAGGCAATAAGAGCCAAATCGCGGATGACAGTGCGTTATTCTAAACGAAACTAAATTTTTTCGTTAGAATTAAATACCTGTGCACAAGGCACCAAATTTTTACTTGGACACGGCCAGATATAAAATTGGAATAATCTCTACAAGAGATTTTTAATTCCATGTATCCCCTATTCCCCCTAAAGAAATAAAGTGCGAGAGAAAAATATAGATCCGAAAGTCGCAGAATCGGGAATCGAACCCGAGACCTTTCGCTTGCCGGGCGACTGCTCTTCCAACTGAGCTATTCAGATCCTTTCGATTCTATACTTTTCTCTGTTATATATATTAATGTTGGTAAATAACGCCTTTAAGCCAGCGTGTATAAATTAAGAGTTTAACTAGGCTCTGTAATATATAAATATAAATTAACATATATAAGATAGGCAATAAGAGCCAAATCGCGGATGACAGTGCGTTATTCTAAACGAAACTAAATTTTTCGTTAGAATTAAATACCTGTGCACAAGGCACCCTCTATATTTTTCTCTCGCACTTTATTTCTTTAGGGGAATAGGGGATACATGGAATTAAAAATCTCTTGTAGAGATTATTCCAATTTTATATCTTGGCCGTGTCCAAGTAAAAATTTGGTGCCTTGTGCACAGGTATTTAATTCTAACGAAAAATTTAGTTTCGTTTAGAATAACGCACTGTCATCCGCGATTTGGCTCTTATTGCCTATCTATATATGTTAAATTTATATTTATATATTACAGAGCCTAGTTAAACTCTTAATTTATACACGCTGGCTTAAAGGCGTTTATTTACCAACATTAATATATATAACAGAGAAAAGTATAGAATCGAAAGGATCTGAATAGCTCAGTTGGAAGAGCAGTCGCCCGGCAAGCGAAAGGTCTCGGGTTCGATTCCGATTCTGCGACTTTCGGATCTATATTTTTCTCTCGCACTTTATTTCTTTAGGGGGAATAGGGGATACATGGAATTAAAAATCTCTTGTAGAGATTATTCCAATTTTATATCTTGGCCGTGTCCAAGTAAAAATTTGGTGCCTTGTGCACAGGTATTTAATTCTAACGAAAAATTTAGTTTCGTTTAGAATAACGCACTGTCATCCGCGATTTGGCTCTTATTGCCTATCTTATATATGTTAAATTTATATTTATATTACAGAGCCTAGTTAAACTCTTAATTGATAATAATAAACTTTGCTATTTATCCCTTTCTAAAAAGTGCATAATTATAAATAAGAAAGGAAATTATAGAAATAGAAAAATATGTGTTTTGTACTATTACTTTTTTAAATTGCACTTTTTGACTTTATACAGTATACAGTTTTACATTTTAAAATTAAATATGCACTTTTTATTTCAATTTAATATAATTGTTTAAATTGTTAAATTTAATCAATGTATTTTTAACGATTTTAATGTAATGTTTTTTTTATTTTAAAGTGGCTTTTTAATTAAAAAAGATTGAATTTAAAAGATGTTAAATACGTAATGTTAGATTTACAATGATTTGAAACAGAATATATTAAACAAAATTTTTATATGTGATTATTTGTTTAATAACTAACATTAATTAATTTAAATGAATGATTGAAATTTATTACATATTTTATATCAATGTGATTAAAATCAAAATTGCAGGCTCATATTTTTTCTTTCTTTTTTGCTCTTTCGCAAAGTCTTTTCTATAAAAATATAGGATAAATAAAGTAGACTTGTAGATAATTTAAAAAGTGTCAAGACTCGGTTTTGAATTTTTCTACTTTTGCTGTATGGTCACATCAAGATTTATGTTACAGGCAATTTACATAAATAATATTTCGCGTTTTTTAAATTAGTGATTACGAGAAACGACTTGACTGTCATCTCGTTCTTTGACTTCGAATCGTCTTCGAATTCAAAACACGGTAAATGAACCGGGGAAATATTTACGATAAAAATTGGTCTTGTCAAAGCTTTTGGATAAAGTTTGCAAGCTCGGTCGCAATGTCGAGGAAGTAAGTGCAAGACCTGCACATTGACGTCCGTCGTTTCTTCCGCTTTCTCTCTCTCTCTCAGGCAAAGTGTTTTACCATGTTATGCCAAAATGGCATCGAGAAACGCACTCAGCGTTTTCGCGATATTGCGTGTATTACGTTTAGGGATAAGTGGAAATAGACCGGTTTACCATCAAGTTTACCGGTTTTTTCCTTCATATATCTATGAGCTAATAATGCGATATTATCATCCCGTGCGGACTCTCTAACGATTAAAATAGGACGATTATTATGAGGTTAAAATTATATTAACTTTAATAATGGTCGGTTAAACGTTCGGCGAGTATGATATGTACCGGGGTTGAAAGATAACAATGGCGATTTAAATCCCCTTTCAGCGTGTGTGTGCGCTGGTTAATATATAGAGACTTTTATTATCAGTATCTTGGCTTCCTGGAGTAATTTAATATAGACTTATCTTTCTTTCTCTTTCACTAGATCTTTCAATTTTAATTAGTCGGGGTAACAACGCGTACAGGGCTGTTTCGAATTACCTTGTATTCTTGATTAAATAAAACTAGGTCAGAAATTCGTAATATATACTGAAAGTCCCAATGGATTGCGCACAACCTACGCGATAACATTATAAATCTTGACGTTATTATTCGAATAGTTGGATTTGTTGGAGAAGATTGCTAAAATATATCTATATAAAATAGGTGTAGATTGTGAGTGTTATACACTCGCGTTCAATCTGGGAAAAACAACATATATGCTTATTATATAATACAATTCATTAATAAGAGATTTTGCAAAAATTAATAAAAGATCATATATGTATAAAGCTACTTTTAATTGCAATTAATTTTTACTTTATGCATAATTCAGCTCTTGCGAAGAAAATAATAGGAACATTTGTAATTTATAAATTATTTTAAGCTCAAAACTTTTTTAATAGTCATATTATCACAAAAAGAAACTTAATGAATTCAAAATAGCGATAAAACCTGTTTTCTGAGCAATTCTGAAAATAACTTGTCGATTCAAATAAAGTTAACATAAAATATTATTTTTGCTTTTTAAATGAAAATGTAACTTGAGTATATTGTTGCATGGCATTATTGCATGTCAAATATCTTTTTAGTTTTTTTTCTAATATTGTATAGTCTCTGAAAATTATAAAAAGAAATTATGTTTATATTACTAAAAACTTTCACGTTATGAGGAGCAATATAGGTACTGCTAAAATATTTCCTGAAATTTTTTTCATAAAATCGAGGAACAGTTAACAACGTATAGTCAAATATTTCCTCATATTTTTTTGAAAAATAATTTATTCGAAAAGAAAATGGAATTAATATATGCTTGCTGAATATTATTGATCTTCTATGACTTCTGAAAAATATTTATAAACAAAATTAAAATCACAACTTATTTTAAAATATTTACTATTACACTATTTTAAAATAATTCTATTTAAAATCAAAATATACATACATGGGATTTAAAAAGAATTAGATGCAAACTTATTTGTCTCTCCGAAACATGATATATTTTGGCTTTTGGATCGTAATTATGTTTCCTTGGACTAATCGAAATAATGTAATTTTTTTAGAGAGTTAAAATTTATTATACAATGTAATTGGTATCAGGAAACACATTACGAGTAATTGAATTTTTAAAGAAGCCGGAAATGTATCGACGTTGCGAGAAATATTCGACGTGTATCGTCATTCGGATAGCAGGGCGGGTTGATTCGCGTTCGTAATTATTTTATACGTCCGGACTCTATCTCTTGCTCGGACGCTTGGACATTACGCAAAACGTGTTTCGCTGGCGTTGCGAGGTAACGGTTCAGTTCAGCGAGGCGAGCTCGGAAAATTGTCCGATCGCCGGCGAACGGCGAACGACGCTTGCGACACGTTGATCCCCTCTCGGCATCGAGTCTTCATCCGTCGATATCTCTGGATTATCACGATCGAATTTTGTTAACGTACAAGATAGATAGAGAGAGAGAGACTCTATAGTTAGAATAAAGTGTCGAGTATAATATGCATGAACGCGGATGAAAGCGCGCGCGAATTTTTGATGCTTCGTGAAATGTCCGCTAAAATCGGATGTCGGTTCCAAGACTGTTTTATATATGATGGTCGAGGGTTGTAGGAAAATCTCTCTCTCTCTCTCTCTCTCTCTCTCTCTCTGAATTTTGCATGTTAAGAGATTCATTTATTCTTCTAAGAAAAAAATACTTGGTTTACGCGAATGATGATTCATTCAAAATGAATGTATATTAGAGGAACGGGTTTCCTTCAACTCAAGGTGAATTCATTGGGAAGTTCGCTTTTGTGTGACGATGAGAAAGTAGAAAAAAAAGAACAAAGGAATCGTTTCGCAGAAATAATAATCTGCATTTAGAGATGGCAGGAAATAGAGATTTTCGCTTTCGTACTGTTTGCGTATAATTGTACTCGAGTTATAAATGAATGTATGATTATATTTTTACGGAAGATTTTATTTTTAATTGCTTTTATTAAATAAATTAATATTAATATTTTCTATATATTAATATATTTATTAATGATATTGATATTTACATGATATTAAGTACATTTTTAAAATTGCTGCAAATGCGTGTGCCTGTGTATGTATACACATACACAATTGAAAAATTGGTGTTAAATTTAACAGATATTACATGTCCCAAATGTCCACAGAAATTTTTGTGTTAATTCGACATAATATGGATATGTTATTGTAAATGTAGACACAAATACTGCATTAATATTTTAGCACAAAATAAATGCAAAACTTCAAATAATTTAAAATAAATTTTGTGTCAAATTAACATACAATAGTTTTAATGCAAAAATTTACTAAAAATAGGTTAACTTAAAATTTTATCATCTCCACTTATATTATAAAATGAAAAATCAACATTTTTTCCTGTAATTTTTAACAGATAAATCTCGTTACTAATCAAACAAAATATTTATTGTGTAAAATTAAAAAAGCACTGTGTTATTTTTACATCTTTTCAATTGTTTTAATAACTTAATATTTAAATTAAATTAACATGAATGTGTTAAATATTTAACACAAAAATTTTAACAGGGACCGTTTTTAAACAAGAAAACAAGATATTTTTCCTACTGTTATTTTACATATTTAATATAAGTTCAACTAACACAACAGTATTTAAATTAAAATGAATTTTTGTACAACGTTGACATTTTTCAATTACAAAAAAATATCGTATTTCTGTCATCTTTGAACGCGGAACGATCAATTTTTGCGGAAACATCGTTCGCATGAGTCACTTCCTTTTCGCTTTGGGCGACCCGTCCCGGAATAATCATCAAATGCGAACCGTGTAAATTCGCCGTGCCGGGACTTGCGAAATGCGAGTAATAGCTTTCGCCCGTGCCAAGTCATTCTTCCGCCTGCACGGACGAGGCGCGATAAAGCTCCTCCTCGTACGAACATCGCGTCGACATTCCATTTTCGGAATGTAGTGTCTATCCTCCGTCCGGGGACCACCTCTAGTTCCTCCCAATCTCGAGTAAGTGTATCCGGCTGCAGCGATGCTTCTGTAATTTATTTTGGCACCGAGCTTCAAAATTTTGAAATATCGCGACCTATCTAACTAATAAGTATTTAATTGTGAACTTTAGGACGGATCGAAGAAGAAATGAAAATAAGAACAAGAAATATAATATCGCACTGCGTGCATTTTTTCACGTCAGGATCTTGTCTTCTGAAGCTCGGTGTATGCTGAATGGCGTTAAAATAACATTTAGCAAAATTATTCCCAACGTTGACACTTTGAAGTTCATAAAGTTCATGCAAATTCACTTGTAATTAAACTTGTCTCAGATATAGTCATCATATCTCTTTCTACTAATCACCGTATTTAAATAATTTCTGCTTTAAGTATAAGCACAGTAGAATTTATAAAATTACATTAAAAACAAGATAAAGCCTTCTGGATTTTTTGCCACAATTTATCACGTTTTAATTATTTTATATTTTAATTGTAGTATAACTTCGCGCCAAATTTTTCATTATTCTTGTATTTTTAAAACTTTAAATCTTATCTTATATTCAAATCTTATATTTTTTTTTGTTTAGTCTGTCATGTTTATGATAAAGTTGGCTGAAGTAAAATGCTCTAAAAGATCCGTCGGTAGCATCCATTGTTCATTGCTCACGAGCTTAAGCGTAAACATGATTTATTCGCGGATTATGCATCGTGTCACATCGAGGGAAAATGTATTATCGCTCCGGTGATGTCGAGCTTGCACGTCGCCGTCGTCGCGATGCATACACACTTTTATTTACACATTACAGCGTGCATCTCGGTGCATCTCTCGGCGTTGCGACGCTAGTCCGGATATGCTGCAGCTTGATTATACATATATATGTATATGCACGCGCGACTGTTCCTCTCTGAGAATGCATCTTGTGCCTATTATTTCATTTTGTTCTTTCACTCTGGAAGAATTCGCGAGAAGAATACGGAACCTGTGCAAACCTGTTTCTTCTCAACCGCGGTCTTTTATGGAAAAAAGCGTAAAGCTCTTCCCTCGTATGTCGAAATATATACGTTTTGTAAAACCAGTTGCGCGAAAACCAGTCTACCGTAATAAATCTGTGGTACGGGAAATAAAAAAATATATTTAATTATATAATTCTATATTATATTATCGGAGCTTATATAGTTTAACAAATTTCAATAAAAATATTATCTCTTTCCCGTTATTACGTTTCTCTTTATGACATTTTTTTAAAAATAAAATGTTGAATGTTTGATTTCATTAAAAACATTATTATTGAATTTTATTTTACAATCGGTATCTAAGAGCGTAACGCGTAAATGCAATAATGTAGAATAAAAATGTATATTGCGCTGTTATTAATTGCGTTTCGACTCGCAAACGAACCTTTTCCGAAAAAATAGTAGGGTATTCATAGAGTATTAACAATACGAAAGTCACTCTGCTAGTAGCCGCGTATCATTTGCATGTTTCAAAACTTTTTCCATGAAAAATGCAAACTGTTTGCGCGTTATGAAACTGCTGTATTTCACGAGTATTTTTAATCGTCGTTGCTCATTAATAATCTCTTCTGCGTTGGCTGCACCATACCAAAATTTCAGGCGACCAGTATTACGATGGTACTGGGAAATGGGATTAGATTGTATTATCAAAAGTAACTTTGCTTCGAAGTAGTTTTATAGAGCCATACATTATTCAACGAATAAATTAACAATTAACTCGCGGAATCTCGTAAATATATATCACAAAACTTAGTTAATATAAATAACTTTCTTGGATATTTTTTTATTTCGCGAATATTAAACATACGAAAAAATCTGTTATCTATATAGAGATACCACATAAATAAAATGTTGAATTATTTCATCGTAATAATGAACATTAACCTATTTTCTTTCAGCTTAAAAATTTGTATTCATCATAATGCAGTTATTTTTCTAGTATCGCAAATTTTGTTACATATAGGGTTTATACATATGTATACAGGGTGTCCGGTAACTAACGGACCAACGATTACAAATGGATTCTTTGGTCAATTTGGGAACGATTTTTCCTCAGCGAAAATGTCGAAAAAGGTCATCATTTTTTACAACAAATAATAAGATGCAATTTAATTCGACCAAAAACTGGCTACTCATTTATTGAAAATAAGTACACACTACGTTTCGACCCACATTGTGGACATTTTCAAGTGTTGTTCTTATTCAGCAATTACATTAATTAAAATAGAAACATGAATGTTGTCCTGTCATATTGACAAGCACAGTAGCTAACAGATTGTTGATATGACAGGACAACATTCATGTTTCTATTTTTAATTAATGTAATTGCTGAATAAGAACAACACTTGAAAAGCCAGTTTTTGATCGAATAAATTGCATCTTATTATTTGTTAAAATTTTATCACTGGCGATCAACAATTAATTATGAAGACTTTTTACAACTTTCCAATATTTGTCATTATGTATCTTTATAACTAAGCCTCAAATTAAAATTTTATTATAGTAAACTCTACCTGAAATTAACTGAAGAATGTAATTATGTTAGACTTTTAACTTCAAAACGTTTAATTTTCAAAAAACCCATTTTTTTCAATCGCTTAATCATTGGTCCGTTAGTTACCGGACACCCTGTATATATCGGGGACATTAATGTGCTCTATTATACAAACCCCACGTTTATTCTCGCCCGAACAATCCTCCGGCCACAATTTCCGAGTTGACGACGTTCTGCCTATTTTGGCGCCCTTTTCCCCTTCGAAATACAAACTCTCTTTTACGATTTACAAGTTTACTTTGACGAGGTAAATGTTCTCGGTCACCCTTATCGCTTCTCTCTTGCAGCGCATAAGTGGAAACGAGCATGTAATTTTGCGGCAAGTTTCACAATCGCGAGAGTTTGCGGCTTTAACTCGCAATCTAATCTTCTACCGAGAATAGAATAATCTTGCATGTTCCTACAGCCCTTATGATCAATTTTTCGTCACATTTTTGCGTCACACCAATTTTTTGACACATTTTTGTCAACAGGATCGATCGACGACCGGACACCTTTTGGAGGTGGTGGAACGTCAAGAAGAGAAGAGGATGAGAGGAGAAGGAGTCGATCCGCCGTCGAAGGTGAGGCGAGGTGGAACCGACTGAAAAAGAGAGGAAAAAAGAAGAAAAAAGGAGGAAAGCGAAGAAGAGACGCGGTGGAGGAGACGGCGGAAAGGGGTCGAAAGGTTGAGCGACCTACAGATCACGACGAGGAGAAGGTGCTGGCGGGGAAGGGGCGGTTGGGGAAGGGCAGACGGGGAAGAAAGAGGAAAAGGAGGAGGAGAACGACCCCGGCGGAGAAGGACGGAGAAATGATCTTGGTAGGTGACTGGCAAAGTGCTGCGGTGGTCGACTCCTCGACGAAAGGCAGATAGCGCCGCCATTAGTCGTTGCCGGGGCACGGAACATCGGGCCCATGCGCGTTGCGGCCCTGGCCGTGGGCGAGGAGGGCGAGGAAGAGGACGGGGACGAAGAAGAGGACCGAACGACGGGGCACCGCCACGAGGCTCGCGGGCTCGCGATGTGCCCCGCGGCTACGGCGGTAGTGGGGGGCAGAAGTCGATGGTGCGCCGCCAAGCGTCCGATTTTCTTTGTGCTGCTGCTGCTGCTGCCCGTCTGGATTCTGGCGATCGTCGTCGACGCGTCTCCCCTTCATCCCGTACCACCGCGCAGAGGTGAGTCACGTTTACCTTTCTTTGTTGACTCGTTAGAGCAAACGGTGCCCCGAACTTCGTACACTTATTGTTGGAGTGTTATTGCATTCGACATACGATGAGTTTGTATCAACTTATCGATTGACTATTGGATCAACTATTTCTAGGGTTCCAACTTCTAATTTTCTTGCAAAGCTTATCGCCCGAAATATTATATAGTAATATCCTCAAATTACGTATGGATCAAATTGGAAATTGAAAATTGAGAAAGAGAACATTTTCATGAATATTTGTCTCTTCGTTCGTATAGAGTTTTTCTTTTCCACATCTTATTATTTAATTTCCTAGCATGATAAAAAATTCAAGGGTTTTTAAATATATAATTATTTATTAGTAAAATTATAAAACAAGAAAAAATATATTAATATTGCTCTGATTGTGAGCGAGAGTGATAAATTATTATCATAATTTGAGAAAAATTAAATTACGTAATGTTTTTTCATCTATTTTTTAGCTTTTAGTAATTATAAAATAATTAACAAATTATTAGTGGAAATAATTTACAAAGTAAAGTAGTTTTATATAGAGTGTTTAACAATCATTTTTATTTAAAAAATTACAAACAATAATTACGTTATATAGTTCTTCTCATTGTGAGAAAAATATATTCTTATAATAAAAATAATTATATTTTACCTTGTTATTATAATTTTTCGCTTTTGAAGCAGAATGCGCGAAAACGAATGACCTGTGAGAAAATAACGAAAGTCTATACAGGGTGTCCGGTAATTAACGGACCAATGATTAAGGGCGGATTCTCTGGCCAATTTGGAGACGATTTTTCCTTAGCAAAAATGTTGAGAAGTCAATAATTTTCGAGTTATAAGCGATTAAAAAAATGGGTTTTTGAAAACTAAACGTTTTGGAGTTAAAAGTCTAACATAATTACATTCTTCAGTTAATTTCAGGTAGAGTTTACTATAATAAAATTTGAATTTGAGGCTTAGTTATAAAGATACATAATGACAAATATTGGAAAGTTGTAAAAAATGATGACCTTTTTCGACATTTTCGCTGAGGAAAAATTGTTCCCAAATTGACCAAAGAATCCATTTGTAATCGTTGGTCCGTTAGTTACCGGACACCCTGTATAAATTAAGAGAAAGAATCGATTTTTTCATTAGATAATTGTTCTCACGATTTACGGCATTGATTCGAGGATTGGAATTACGATTAATTCGCAATTGAGTTATATATTAGATCTGTTCTCGATTAGCAATCTGTAATGTGCATCTCTCAAATGCTATCGTGTAACCCTAATTCGTATAATGCATACGAAATCGGTCTCGCATGAGGGATCGATTCATAATTAATAGACCCATATGGATCAACGTTGTTCCTTTGATATACATGATTATCGTAGGTACATATATTATATGTATGACGCCGTTGCGTCATTATGTAGGATTTTAAATTTTATTTTATTCTAAAAAATAGTCACACTTTTTCATATATTCTCTCTTAATATCGAATTAGGAGCAATAATAATAATTTAGATAGACCATTCGATCAGCTTGATAGATAATTCTTGATTTTTTTCTTTTTAAATTAAATATTTTCGATATAATTTAATACAATTTGGTTCACACATCGTAATTACACGTGTTCGTGTGAATCTTCGCGCGAGATATTCTAGAAATACCATGGCCATTCGATATCCTGGATGGATCCCGAACGGGTCCGCCCGCGCCGATGGCCTCCAAATCCTATACTCCTTTTTGCCTCACGTGTTCCTTTTATGTTCCGATCGTTCGATCGATAGTATTTGCGGAAACAATGGTACGCGCGATCTTAAACGGTACTCTAATTGCGAATGCACGCGATGCAAACTGAACTTAGCGTCGTTCCATTGACTATTCGACCATTTATATGCATCGAAAACTGCTTAAGTCGCATCTACAAAGTCTGTTCATTAAAATGGATATATCGCGTAATTTATATCTCGTTTTTTTTTAATTTTACTTTTTGAAACTGTAAATTTAGATAATCAAAAAAATGTAATTGCGATGCTTGAACAATCAGACAAATATCTAGAATAAAAATTTATAGCAGAAACTATGATAGCAAAAGATAATTGAATCGAATAATAAATAATGCATTAGTTTTTTTCGTCATTTATTCTTTTTTTTGTTCTCTTGAAAACAATAATTATGTAGGTAAAAAAATGTGTCGAATGCGATTAATTGGATCCGAATGTGCGCAATTTCCAAATCATATATGCACATTAATATGTTTTCCTCTAATCTATCTAATAGCATACAACAAAAATACAAAAAATTATATCTAGATAAATACAATTTTATTTTTTATTCGCGTTTTTAACTATTAGTTGAAATTATTGTTGACTAAAAATTAAAAATTTCTGATTATCGAGAAATTACTCCAACTATAGATTGCAAAGATATCGAAAAATTAAATTTGAAACTTGGAAATCTAGTGGCTGGGTTATAAAGGTTAATGTGTGTGCGTCCTTTCGGTGAAATGGATGCGAAACAAGTGCACTTTGGTTGCCGTACTTGTCCGAGATCTAAAAACGTGTCTCTGAGGAGCTCTCTCAGCTGAGTGGTCGTGGTGAATCCTCGAGAAGTGCTCGCTACTCTGAAAATTTTTGTCGCCTTAAAACATTTAAAAAGTTTTTTGGGGCGAATGTGATCTTTCGCAGCATATAAATACAATATGTGAAAATGAAATAATTAACTTCGCAATTATCTTAAGATGAAGTACCAGCACCTACCAGCACCAAATAGATAATAACATCTAAGGCAGATTGAAAAAAGTATTTTTATAAAGTCAAGATACTAATAGTTAACATGCGAGCACAAACGTAACCGTAGTTACATGAATAATTACAATAATTGAAATTATTACAAATAATTTTGCATTAAAATATTTAAAAATCTGACATATTTCGATTTACCTCGGGCTTTTTCCAACTTCTAAAAAAAGAAAAACGTACAAGGTAGACAAGGTAGGTTTTTATTAGTTTTCTTCTTATCATCGAAAGTTGTATTTCTATAAAAGCGAATATATTGATTTTGATTATTATTACATATTATTGCATATATTATATATTCTTCTAAATATACACTGCTGTCTAATTTTAATAATATAATTTGGATTATAATTGATTCAAATTTGCAGTTATATTTAGCACTATATTTGTGATAATATCAGAAATTGAAGACCTAAATTTATATTATTATATTTAGGATTTCCGTAAATATGGATGTTTACAAAAGTTTCATTCATTTAAAATCGAATATATTTATCTATAGATGTATTCATCTTATTGTCGTGTATTTAATATATTTGATAGATATAATTTCCTGAATTTGTTTTTTTATTACTCGTTATAAAGAAGATAACATTTATCGCATCCTCTTTTTTTACAATAAGTCATGAAAGTGAAAGTATACCTCGTCTGATTTACACGGCTTTTAATTTTGTATATAACGATCTCGGCAAAATACGAACCGTTATCGCGTGTTTTTTATTGTGGATAATCGAGCGCGACTATAAATAGACTTTAATGTTTAAATTTGAATTTTAAAAATATTTATTATAAATATTCTCAGGAGAAAGATAATTTATTCTTAAGACATATATATTATATATTTAATTGAAACAATAGAATATAAAAATTACAAATATGTATCTCATAAATAAAAATATATTTTATTAATTATTTAATCACGAAAACTCGCGAAATTTCATCATTATTTCGCAGATATAAATAAGATACTGTTAAAAAGATTCTTTTTTGCAAAAGGTTCGCAGTTTAAAGTGAGAAAAAGAAATATACAGCTATATTATTTTGCGATATGAATTACTTTCAAAGCACTACATTATACGAAATATGTTAATAATTATATAATTAATATAATTATATAACTGTATAATTATATTTATTATCCTGTGGCGAGAGAAGTTTTCTTTTCGTGTTTCTTTTTTGTCTACAAAGAAGAGATTAACGAGAGGACTTTTTGGTTTATCTAAGAAACGAAGAAGCGTTTCGTCGCGCTCTTAATCATGCTCGCACCTGGTGCAAACGTACTTTTATGGCGCAACTCATCTTCGCGTGACTCGCGATTTACGGTTTGCGCAACGTATTCTTCTCAGAAACATCATTAATAGAACCGTTTTCTTGCATTTTTCAGATATCATGCGCAACTCGTACATCGGGTACTACGAGCCAGCTACTTACGACATCGCGACCTTGAGACAACATCGCAACCGGATACGTCGCGACGTGACTGACTCCGAGCAACCTCTGATTCTGCATCTGAAGACGCTCGACAGGTGAGTTCTATAAGCGAATCTATCTTTCCTTGTCCCAAGTACATAGTCAGCTCTTTTTTGTTCCTCGTGCACACAGCGTGTTCCGAGGAAAGACGCAAGATCGATACCGAATCTGACTCTGGACATCCGAGAAGGCTGTTGAAATTTCAGCTATCTCGAACACTCGATTCTAGTTTCAAAATCAAAGTTTAATGAATATCAGAAATTCTCGAAAAAGATGAATTTTGGTCTTTGCAGATCTATGATGTTATAAAAATTTTACACGAAAATTTTCGAGCTTTTTGTAATCACACCAATTTTTACAAATTTCGAGAAATGCAAATATTGTTTTCCTCAACACACACTTGTAAAGAGATGTGAACAAAGTCGGTGGTGTGTCGCCGCAGCGTTCTCGGTATGTCCTAATTAGGTCAGTGGTACCTGAATCCGATTAAAGATGGTGGTCAAGACTAATTCACGTGCGGTTTATATAGCTTGTATGTGTCACGTACAATCGAAGTTATTTAGAAATATTTTTTATATACATATCTTTTTTAAAATAGAGATTTACTTAATATACATCGAAGAAAATTATCTCACTAACAAAAAAAACTGAATTTTTATTTTCTAATATTCTTAGAATTATTAGATATTTCTTTTTTCTATCATACATTTCTGCATGCTATTCTTTAAAAATTTTTTTTTAAAGAATCCCTTCTAAGAATTTCTCTTAGATCCCCTCTAAGAAAATCTAAACACGATGTGTTATAGAATATAAATTCCTAAAGCTTTTTCTTGAAGACAAGAAATTTTTTGCTGAACAATTACAGCAGCAAGTCTTACATATATGATAATAATTGGAGAATTATAGAGAAAATGTGAATGATAATATCAATGTTTGCACTTTGCACGCGTCGAACAAGATTTACTAGATTTACTATCTACAAGAAGAGCAATTATAGAGTTTCACTTTCGCGGTTATTTAATGTAAGATTGGTACATAACGCAACATCGGAAAGTTTAATTTATGATAGCGCTCCAGTTTAACGATACAAACCGTGTTCTAGTCTGTCGATGTATTACGGAATCGTTTAAATATTGACTCGTGCTTTCACTCTTGCGGCATATTTATAAACTTTTAAATGGACTCTAAAGATAACGGTTCATCTTCCTTTTCTATTCTGAATATAACGGTATACATATAATATGGTTCTCTCGAATTTTCTAGGTCGCTCAATATTTATATATATTATATTACATATGTATACTATATTTACTGTATTACATATATTAAAGTAACATAATTAAATCTTTTTATACTACTAGTATATAATATTCATTTATTAAAATTCTTCTGAACTGCGAAATTATATTTTTATATCAACTACTATTTTTGATTATAGAATATATAGGTATAATTAGGAAAATAAACTGAGAAAAATTGTACCTAATTATTTGAATTAGAAGCGGCTATCATCACGGCTATTTCTATGTGCTTTAATTCTATACGGAAATTGTGAATTATTATATAATTTAATTTTAATTATATACCTATACATAAATTTCTATATTTAAATTTAGCATCAGTCATATGCAATGGAATTTTTCCTTTCTTCGTTCAAGAATAGACGAATTAAATTAAATTGAACGAAAATTTCTAGTTTCTAACACATTGTCAGATCTATCCTGAAATTAAAATGATTGGATAAAAATAGAAACTGATTCTATAATTCTAAAGTTCTCAGTCACCAAAAAAGAGACTCAAAATTAAAAGTAAAATAAGTTTTGACGAATTTCTCTTACAAATAATTACTTTTGATAACTTTTTCTCTTTTTAATTTTTTTTTCATTTTAGAAAGCAAAACAAATTGAGATGCAAATGATTTCACATTTAAAACCTTATATTATTGTAATTGTTCTATTAAAATTTTCTCGAAAAATTAGATGCACAATAAAATTATTATCTATTTGATTTTTTTAAGGCTTCAATTGAGGAGATTTTTCGATTTACAGATATGACGGTATTTAATAATTTTTTGAGACATATCTCCATATTTAAAATTTCGGAATTATAAATTTTTCGGAGTTTCGTTCTATATTTCAAAACATCTTTTTCGGAATTTGGTTTATCAATTCTTTAATATTAAATTAGATGATTTTCGCGTGTCTGCATATATTATATACATATCACTGTTAATTTTATTTAAAATATTTATATATACATTTGCAATGAAACATTTGATTAGTAGAACATTAATATTATAGATATATATGTACATATGAAAACGAAATGTCAAGTGACTTTCTTAAATGGAAGGACTAGGTCTGAGGCAATCAGGTATTAATTCAATAATAGAGAAGATCGTGCTGGATGAATTCTATAATCGCATTAAATCACCTCAGATCCGAAAATTTCGTCCGATTTCGTGTCCCGCGGGGACCAATGTTAAACATTTGTCGAACTATCCATTATGCAAGAGACTGTGACGACCGCGTGCACCATGTAGATTGCAAGTTACAACGAATGGTCTAGTATCTCAGCCGTAGCGAAGTGACCCAGTAGAAATAGCTTGCGCGCGTGCCCATTCCCTCGTGTTCCCTTTTCCTCGCTCCCTTTCCTCTTTTCCCAAGGGAAAGGAAAGGGAAACAAGTTTCCG